GCAGGGTCCCTGGGGGAGGTCGTGCAGGTGGCAACGAGACGGGGCAGCCCTTGGCCAGAGGAGGGTGACGGCAGCGTTTGGGTTTAGTATCGGTTCCTGTCACTGTTCACAGTTTCTCTAAGATGAGCGGCGAGGCTCGCCCGGGCCTGGAAGGCAGGGTCCAGAGAACACTGCGAAAGGTCTTCGGGTTTGAGTCCTTCAGGACTTCCCTGCAAGAAAGCGCGACCATGACTGTGGCAAGAGGTGAGGCTCAGCAACAGAGAGGTGTGAAACGTGTCTGGTTTTCCATCTTCCTGTGAGGGTGGTGCTGCAGGAGTTGGTATCGTGCCTGTTTTGAGGAGATGCATCATCTAGGCTAGGCAGGGACCACCTGGCCCTCCAAGACCTCCTAGGCCTTCTCTGCACTGAGATCATTTCAGTGGCATAGGAGCACGAGCGTGTGCTGCCCACAAGCTCTCTGAGCATGGCTTTATCCTGCCTGTCCTCCTTTGCATTGGGTTTGTAACCCCACTGTTGCATCAACCAGAAAATAGGTTGCTGGTATTTCCGCTGGAGGCATCTGCCAGCATGTTTCTGGTCAGATGAGGTCAAAACTGTTTACATTTATACATTTTTAGAGTAAATCTGTCCTTGTTGTAGACAATGTTAGACAGATGATACCAGTAGATGACTTGGTTTCCTGGCATAGTTTATGTCTGTTCTCTCTAATGTGGCCATTATCATAAATGTGATTTTGCTGGTGTTAACGTACCCACCAACATACCGCTGTTGTTTGGAGAGGCAGCTCATGCATACAAGCTGCCAGCTGTCAGCTCCCCTGGCAGGTCTCACAATGCAAATCAGAACAGTGTCAAACTCAGCACTCAGGATAGTGTTACAATTTTCTTCTGTCGCCAGGAGCTGTGCAGATGTGCTGTTGACCACAGACTGGCCAAAAGCGGTGTTTTGTCAGCAGGGTGTCTCTGCTTGTTAACATTGCATGCACTGGCATCTACCTGACTTGAAGCGGATACTGCTTAGCACAGTGACAGTTACCAACTGCATGATATTATCTACATGGTTGAGATTTCCAACCCTTATTTCTTATGAGGTACCTTTCTAGGATAAGCCTTAAGAGGATGTGGTAAAGATCTGTCATGGGGCTGGTAATTTGGTAACTGGAATTTCTTTAAGATGAGTGAAAGCAGCTCATCTAGCAGAGAGTTAGCATGAATAGCCTGTTTAACTTCTTTCTATCTTGGTTTCTCTGTATCTTTTGGTACTTCTGTAAGGGTGTTTCTAAATGTTTACAAAGCAATTAGAGATTCTTTGAAGGAAAACCATCGCAGGCATGCTTTTAGAACCTAAAATGAAGTGTCTTTTGCTTGGTATGCCACACGGCACACATATGCTGTTTCTCACAGATTACAAAGCCTTTCTGCCCACCCCTTGAGTCAGAGCCCTGGGAACTCATGACCACTCAGTAGCCTTTAGCTTTCTTCTGTTGTCTTTGCAGGCGAGAAGGATGTCTTTGTATGCATGCCCACAGGGGCAGGGAAATCCTTGTGCTACCAGCTTCCTGCAGTTCTGGCAGTGGGCATCACCATTGTCATTTCACCTCTGATTGCACTGATTCAGGTAACTGTCTCCTGTTAGCTGTGGAAAAGCAGTCAGTGAAGGGGGTCGGGAGACTCTGGAGGCGCAGCTGCCTCTCTGTCTCCCTGAGTCTCTGCTGTTGGCCTGCCTCTGGATTCTCATCTTGATGTCTCAGTGTGTTTTCCTTACCCTGGTGAGATAGGTAAAGAGACTGCAATGTAGCTGCAGAGCAGAGTAACTGGCATGATAACTATGCAGTTCTCCAAAAGGAGGGTTTTTTTAATAATAACCTGGTGGGTTTTATAACTGAGCCTTTCTCCATTTTCTCCCATTGTCTTTTACCTCCAGTGTGCTATACAGAAGCAGCAAAGTAGAGTACCTCAAATGGACCAAACTGGATCTTTCCCCAGAAGAAAACTGTCATTTTACCTATAAAGTAATAACTCTGGGACTGATGAAGTTGCCTTTGAAGGCATAATTTGTTCTGCATCAAAATGTCTTTTTGTTGCAGTCAGTCTTTCTGTCATTGGAAGAAGCTGTTTTAGCAGAGCTGCTCCTTGAGCACTTTCCTCTGTGAGACTTTTTTTTTTCCTGCATTTTGCCTTTTCTACTGTTTTATCACCTGTTGGGAGAACCGCCTTCCTGTAAGAGCAGCTGTAGCATTGCTTAGACTTCTGTAAAGCATCTGATTAACATTGCATGATATCTGATGTTGTAGGCTGCTGGTTTGGTTTTTGTGGTGTGTTTTGGTTTTTTTTTTTAACTACAGTCTTAATGTAATACATTTTAAGAACTAAGAGCAAGCTTCAAGAAAGGTGTTATAAATAGTGAATTTGTTCTAAGCGAGGGGATTTCTAATTAAGTTTCAGCACAGACAATATTTTGTCAGTGAAATGGAGGTTAAAAAAAGTTACCACTAGGATTTGCAGGTGAAGCAGAATGTGTCAGAGGCTGACAAACAGGTTGAGATGGGCTCAGTGAGTCTTAGGGACCAGAACTGGAGTGAACCTTCAGAAGTCTTCTCATCAAGCCCTGAGATGGGGTGGCTATGCCTGAAATGATCATGATGTATTTCAGTGTAGCCAAACTTCAAGAGCTTAGTCTGTGTAGTTTCTTATAGGGAAGGCTGAGAGTTGACTTTGTGAACAGAAAAGAGTGGATATTAAATCAATCACTGAAACCAGTTATTGATTGAAATAATGAGCTACCCATTTTTCAGGACTATTCATATCTTCTGAAATGTTATGTGCTACTCAAGTGCAAGTGAACAGCTCAGTGTAGGGATAGGGAGGTGAATTTGTATGCCCAGAGTTCATCTGGATGTATCTGGACATGATGCCATGTTTTCCTCTCAGTTTTCATGGCATGATTCTCATCCAGGCTTGGTTCTGTTGCAGTGGTGATTTGCATGATTCTTGTATTTTGTCCTATCTTAGCTGTGTTTCTAACATCCTTTAGCTAATTTGGAATGAAATGCACTCTGTTATTGTAGGGTGGTGGTATTCATGTTCCATCTCAGACAACTTGATTGTGTAAATCCTGAGACGTGTTGGTGGCTTGTTTCGGCTCACTGTGGCTATGATGAGTTATTTTGCACAGATCCCTGCTGGTGTTCCCTAGGAGCAAAAAGACTGTCTTAAAGTGAATGAATGTACAAAAATGTGGTTGGATGTTAGAGCTGGACAGATATGCTCGCAGTTGAAGATAAAGGCATCTAGAATTGAAGTTCTAAATACCCAGACTGTACGTGTATGTTGTCCTGAGACTCGATCCTGGAGGTGGAAGTTGGGCCCTCACCTGGATCTCCCTAGTAGTCTGGTGACTTTCTTTATATCCATTTCCTTTTCATTTAATTTTAACTTTATGTTTACTCTAGGATCAAGTGGATCACTTGCTGGCTCTGAAGATCAAAGCCTGCTCTCTGAACTCCAAGCTTTCTGCCCAGGAAAAGAAGACCATCCTGGCTGACTTAGCAAGTGAGAAGCCCCAAGTAAAGCTCCTGTACATCACCCCAGAGATGGCAGCCGCCTCTTCTTTCCAACCTACACTGAATTCTCTGGTGTCCCGAAACCTCTTGTCCTACCTGATAATCGATGAAGCGCACTGTGTCTCCCAGTGGGGACACGACTTCCGACCTGACTACCTGCGGCTGGGCACCTTGCGCACCCGCATACCCAATACACCCTGTGTTGCCTTGACTGCCACTGCCACCCAGCAGGTCCAGGAGGACATTGTGGCAGCACTTAAGCTAAAGCAGCCGCTTTCCACATTTAAGACTCCTTGCTTCAGATCTAACTTGTTCTATGATGTGCAGTTCAAAGAGCTCTTGACTGATCCATACACCAACCTGAAGGATTTCTGCCTGAAGGCGCTTGAAGTGAAGAACGCTGCTGGGGTAGGTTTTACATTTGGGGAAGTAGGCTAAAATGAACAAAACGTACCTGCCAGTGGTTGATATGGCCCTGACAGGTCTGTGGCAGGGAAGGAGGAGGTCCCTGGAAGGAAAGTACTTACATGTATTTTTTTAGTTCCTCTAAAAGTGCTCAAGTATATTTTTATTTAGTTCCTCTAAAATAGATAGAATGTGAAGGCTGCGTTCCTTTCAGAGGTATCCTCAGAAACAGGTTGGTCTAAAAGAAAATGGATTAGGAATATGCGACTGGCATTTCTGTCTTGGTTTATCACGTCCCAGGAGATCATTGTATGCTTGACTGCATTCTGCTTTTCTAGTGTGGTGAGGGTGAACAGAAGCATTTGGAATGTTGTGCTGAATTTCCCGCTCTAACACTTATTCCCAAAATAACTCTCAGCAACTCAGTTATAGCCTCTGCACCGGAGTTTATCTGTAAGGTGGAGGGAGACTGCTTCTTGCCTTGTGCCCACTGGGAGAGTATTGGGAGACCATATTTGGTTGATGTTAGGCCTTGTAGGATTTCAAGTAGTAAATCAGAGAGCTTCCTTACAATTTCTGATTTACTTTTGTGCTGCAACAGTATCTTTCAGTTGCTGAGGAATCAGCTTGGAGAAGAGATGAGCTTTAGGCATTCTTCCCATCTGCACCATACTAATGACTGCAGCTTTGTTGATTGGCTTCAGACACTGTCATGGACTTTCTCTCCTGTCTGCCCAGGTGTACTCCGGTTGCGGCATTGTGTACTGCAGGATGAGGGATGTGTGTGACCAGCTGGCTATTGAATTGAGCTACCGAGGAGTGAAAGCCAAGGCGTATCATGCAGGTACTGGAAGTTGCATCTGCATCTCTCAGTAGCTGCTAGAACTGAACTGTGCCACCTTTAAGGCCTGGGTTGGGGCTACCTAGAAAACAGCTTTCTAGGCATGGTCTGCAACGTGTCTGATGCTCACACGTCAGGTCTGTGGGGTAAGTGCAGGGTCTTCAACAGAATGGCATTCCCTTCACTCCAAAACTGTTGGTTTTGTTGGACCTTGCATGGTCTAAATATAACAACTGCCTTTATCCCAGGAGGGATCTGAATTTTTCTCTTTGGAATAGAAACAGCTGCCGCTGACTTCTGCTTGATCGCAGGCCAATTTAAACATGGGCAGAGAGGAGTGTGTACATCAGTCAGTTTTAGTGAGGGGGTTGGCTCACAATGGGGGAAAGGAGGAGGAAGAAAATCCTCTTGATTCTTTTATTTTTTTTCTTTTCTTGTTGTTGTTGTTTCCTTCCCTCTTTTTTCCTTCTCAGGACTCAAGGCAGCTGACAGGACTTCAATCCAGAATGAGTGGATGGAGGAGAAGATCCCTGTTATTGTTGCAACCATCAGTTTTGGAATGGGAGTAGACAAAGCAAACGTTAGGTGTGTGAGGCTGAGTGTTGTGCACCACTAGAGCCTGAAACCTGAGCAGTGGCAAGGGAAAGCCTCATTCTCTCTGTTACCTGATACATCTGACGCAAATGCCTGATGAACACTTGCTAAACCCCACAAAAACAGAGCTGGAGGTTTTTTATTTTAGAAGCAGCAAAAACAAACCTGGAAGGGTTTTGTAAAGAAATTAAAAACAAGGCACCAGAGCTCCTCTTTGCCAGTCATCTTCAAAACCAAGAAAATTGGAAGAATGCTTGTTTTTTGCCACACCCTCCCGGGTTTCAAAAAGAGCCATCTCAATGCAATCACAGCTGTCCCTTTCACTTCTCTTAGTGCAATAGTTGCTGTTAAAAAGCAGTGGGAAGAAAAGCTGCACCTAAAATAATTCATATACCCTCTACTAAAATAGAGGCAGCTTTTTTTGAGCTCTTCTTTTGTAATGCAACAGGGGAAAAAAAAAAAGCAGTTCATAAAAGGCAATAACCATATAAAAAATACAGCTGTAGTCCAAGGACAGAAACTTTGCACATGTTTTCAATTGTGGTTCCTCTGGGACTTCTAAATGTCACCATAATTGCTCTGTGTTGTTAGAATTCCTGCAATGCAATATAGCTGTGCTGAGTTAGTATTGTGAGCTGTGATCCCTTAGTAGAGGGATAACGCAGGTGCAGCTCACACAACACTCCACACAGAGCTGATCTTTACTCTAAAATCCAAATAAAGCAATTGCTCTGAACACTGGGAGAGGGGCAGGACATCACTGAGACAATCACATCGGTTCACAACTGTGCCATCCTTCTGTCTGTGTCACTGTGCTGACAGATAACAGGATCCCACGGCAATGATGGACTGTTTTACTGCTTAATGCATGTTACCCAACAGAGAAATGAGAAGTCTCCTAGGACTTGCTGAAACCCCTCTGCCCTGTTCAGTACAGTGGCCATTAAAAAAGGCAGAGAGTAACTGAAATGCATAGTGCTGACTGAGAGTGAAAGACAGCTGAAACGTGCTTGTAGTCTGGTTAGTTTCCAAGGAATGGAGTTCAAGTGACTCTTTACAGGATGTTTTTTAATAGTTTAAAGGACATTAAACCTGAGCTCAGGCAACAAGTCACCGCTGTGTAGCCTTCGCTCCATGTTGGCAGAGTTCTGGGTATTCATGCATATGTTATCAAGTAAGATCAGGTCTGACAAGTTCTGGAGGTGACTCTTCTGGACAAAAGGGAAAACAGAGGTGGTGTCTCTTTTTCTGCTGGAATCTACTAATTCAGTTTTGCTTGAGATTATTTATCAATTCCTTTAGTAAACTTCCTGATGGGAAATGCTTCCTGCCTGGCCTGTTCCTGGAGTGTTTGTGTTTGAAGAAACGTGTTTGCTTGCTTTTGTCATTTAATCTTTTGCCACACCTGTATGCATCACACCTGCCTTTGGGACATGCTGGTTTTGAGGCAGATTGGTATTTAAAACCTTGGCAGTGTTAGTGTACTGTAAAATATTCTCAACACAGGTATAAGCTGAATTGCTGAATATTCAGGTATAAGCAGGTTTAAAGCAGTCTTGCAGTAGTGTGTGGAAAACCTTCCTTCAGAGATTACATGCAGTTTAGTAATGATTCGTAGTCATATTTGCTGGCTGGGAAGGGTGCCCTCATCAACAAGTGAGCTTGGTGAGACAGAATTTCCCATGCAGACTTTGTTGGCAAAGAAGTGTCTTTTTAAAACAAAGTATTTCAAGTTGTGTTCTGTAACGTTCAAATTGTGTTCCAGAAAATAAATCAGACTTTTTAATTAGTGCTCTATTTTATGGTAAAATCTCCCAAACTCCTGAAATCAATGTCCTTGTTCTCACTCTTCTTAGCTGTACAGTTGTATGCACATTTGGGATATTCATGTGCCCATTCATTTCATCCACTTGGGGTGACATCCTGCTCACATGTTGTTCAGATGCATTTGTTTTCTTATAACTCTGCTATTGTCCTTGTGTCTCATGTTAAGAGGACTTAAATTTCTGTGTGCACAATCCCTTGCTCTGCTCTGTCTTTTATGCTTTCGCTGCCCTGTTTTTTTACTGTTGTTGATGTCCATGAGCAACAGAGTCATGTGTGCAGTGATCTGAGAAACCTGCAGCCTTATGTTTCCTCTTGTCTTATCACACGCAGATTTGTTGCCCATTGGAATATTGCTAAGTCAATGGCTGGATATTACCAAGAGTCTGGCAGAGCTGGGAGAGATGGGAAGCCATCCTGCTGCCGCCTCTATTACTCAAGGAATGACCGGGATCAAGTCAGCTTCCTGATTAAGAAGGAGCTCTCTAACATCCAGGTCAGATCTGCAGAACAGTATCCACCTGCCTAGATATGCTGCTCTTGCTCTGATCTGGTTTGCCTCTTGCCTGCAGTGAACTGTAAATATGCAAAGATGAAATGAGTTTTTCGGGGTCTAGAGCTGTCTGTAGGCCTGTTTCAAGGGGCAGCAAAAGGGAGTGAAGCAGGAAGGGAAAGGGCTATCAGCTCCAGCTCTATTAGAGAGACATGGGTGAGCAGAAGTGTGGAGCAGAGACAGGGTGGTGTCTGTACCTGTTTGCCATATTGATCAGAAGGGTTGGATTTGGTCATTGCTAGAGTTACTTTATCTGTTTATTGTACAATTGAAGACTATAGTTATTGTCCCCCTCTACTTTCAGGAAAAAAAAGGCACCTTAAAAGAATCTGACAAAGCTGCGATGACAGCTTTTGATGCCATTGTGAACTTCTGTGAGGAGCTGGGGTGAGTGCACTTCTTTCAAACACTGTTTAATATTGGGGAAACCATGCCCTATCCCTTCCAAGGCACTGTTATGGCTGAGATCTTGCATGTCCAGGAAAAAGAAAATGCTGAATGAATCACCTGATATTTTGCTGTCTGGACTGAGGAAGGTGTCCCTGAGGCATCCCTCACTCACTCCCACCTCTGAGTTAACTGAGATGTTGGTTTTGGAGCCTTACCAAGTGGCATGGTGATGTTACGCTAGTAACTCCTCTGGCTATGAATTTTACTATGTTCTGTCTTTGATGATGGGTTGACAGAGTTGCATTTGCTTTTGTTTGACTCTTTCCTCCTTTGCTACATCATCTCTCTTCTAAGGAGACAGACAACCAGCCTAATTGGTATGGGATGGAAACATTTAGATTTAATGTTTCTCTAAGTCTCAGGGACTCCACTCTGCAAAGTACTAGGTATCTGTGATTCTCACTGACCTTAGAAGCAGCTGATGGTGCTTAGAATATTTCAGAAACAAGCCCAAATTAGGGATGTGCCCAATCTAAATGCAGACTGGCAACCACAACGTGCATTGTTCAGGTTTAGTTCATGACTTGTAAGCTGTAATTGTACTAATTGCTATTCTATGCTGGATAAGACATCAAAGCTATAACATTGCCAGTAAGAGAGCAGCATGTGTTCACTAACTGAAAATGGTCAGTATGTATCTTCCTTTCAAGTCTGCATTTTGTTTTATTTTTCACACCTGTGTCTAGGGCAACTTTTTTCAGCGCAAATGTAACACGTGCTGCTTTTCTGATGCCTTGGTGAACGTGTTCTCTCCTTGTGGTCATGTTTGGTAAACAAATCCTGGTTTTATGGGGTTGCTCTGGGAAAGTCTTGCTTGTCCTGAGGTATAGCACAACATTTAGTCCTGGGGCACTTGAAGGAGCACTTCTTTGCCCAAAGTCAAGGTGATTATGGGAAGTAGCTACTAGGAGGCTTCTTGCTATAAGAGTTTGATCCACTTACTTGGCTAAGCAGCTCTGCTCCTTCTGGCATGTGTTACCAGCTCACAGCAAGAGTGGCCAGACAGCTGTTTGTGTCTGGGTTTTGTATAATCCAAGAGGCAGCTGTATCTGTCTGGTTAGATGCTAACCTCAGGAAACCTTATCTTGGTATCTATTTCTCCTTGATTCCCAAGATGGTTATCAGTAGAGTTAGTTGTGACAGTCATTTCTTGGAATGGACACCAGTGACGTAAGAACTGGACTGGGATCACTGAACTAACCTTGCACAAGCCAGACAGTCACAGGACATTCCAGGGTGGTGTCCGGGTGAGGGCACGAGTTGGGCTCCATGTATCTGTCTTACAGCATCTCCCACTTCATGGATGCTGTAAAGAGCCTGACTGTGATCTGAAGTGAGGACCTTCTCTAGAGTTGCACTGCAGTAGTGGGGCAATAACTGAGCAAGGACAGAATGAAAACATTCTCCTTTGCTCAGATGAATAGTAATGGAAATAGGATTTCACTGGGTACACAAGAGAGATTTCTGTAAGGGAATACATCTGACCTAATTAGAAATCGTGTCTCCCATACTACTTCTTCCCTCCCCCAGCTTGGTGCAGTCTTCCTGCTGTATAACATGCCATATGCATCCGGGAGTCGCATATTGCAGCACCACTGACTGGCTTCCCTGCTCATAACTGTACAGGAGACTAAGATGCTGTGTAAAGGAACACCACGTTGCATTTATTTTTTACATTTTGAATTAATACAGTTCTATTCACTATCCAAACAGTGAAAGCAAACCTGAAACTCTGACTTTGCAATGTTCTAAATAAGAACAAATAAAGATGGACCTGTATACTGGCAAGCAAGTTTTTGCATAGTATATTTAGGTTATTATCCGAGTATGACAGGAGAACAATGATATAAGCTGCTTTTAGAGAGCAGGTTTAGACAAAGCTTTTACTGGTCAGAGTTTCATGTTTCCCATTTGCAAGATGGAAAAAACCCCATGTAACTGCAACAGTGGAAGATGTCTTTATCAGTTTTAGGTGGTGGCTGACCATTTGCCACCTCTAACCAGTGTTTTTTCTTGAAAGATCAAAATCAGTTGACTTGGGTATTTGGCTAGTCATGTAGTTCCTGAATACAGACAGCCTTATGTATTGCATTTGCTGTGGACTTGCAGAATAACGTGCAGGCATTGGTGCATTGCTGTTGATGCAGGAAAGTTCCATGGGGAGAAATAACCACTCAGGGAGAGAAGATGAGAAAGCTTTCTATGAGCAACACAATCAGGTTGTAGCTGGACTGATTCTCACTTAGCTGTAGGGCTCCGGGTACTGTGTCTCAGTTTTACTGTTTACGCACTACTATTTGTGCCTTGGAGATGAGCAGCACCCAAAGATGGCAGCAAATAAGATGAGAGCAACAAAAACAAGGCAGAAGGTGCCAATCACCGCTAGCCCTCCAAGAGCCCAGTCACTTCTCACAATCAGTCTCTTTAGGTCTTCCAGAAGTGAGGATGCCTCTTGCACTGGTGACATGCTGGCTTCCACCCTGATGGAGGTAGACAAGAATATCAGATGTTGGTATATCCTCTCTATGCTCTGAGCCACAATCCCAAATCAGTATAGGCATGCCTGCTGGCTGTGCCTGCAGGCACCCCTCTTCCAAAAGGGAGAGTCACCTTTCACAGAAATGGGAGCATAAACTAGAAGAAAGATAGCTACAGCAGTTTCACAACTAGATCTACAGGGATGTAAAAAGAGGAAATCTTCTGGCTTTACAAGTTTTTGGCAGTTGACATTTATTTTAATCATAGTTTATCAATATTTTTTAATAATATAATACAGCATTCTCCCAGGATGTTCAGTATGAACCCTTCATCTCTGTCACCTGTACAGCTTATACATGAAAGACAAGTATTCAGTGGGAGAACTTGCTCGATACCATTGGAAAGATCTCTAAAAAGGAGTTGGGCACTTAAACTCCGTGAACACGCTGGAGATTAAATGAACACTAATTTAAAAACAAACAAAAAAACTCAAACAAAAAACTCCACCAACAATAAGCAAAGATCTTAATTTGCAACTTGGTGCTCTCATAGGACTTAGAATAGTCTCGTTATATAAAAAAGGTCTCTTGTTAACAGCATTTGCTTTAGTAATGCTTTCTGTTACTCTGCAATGGAAGCGTAAGTTTTCCTCCTGTGAAGTACTTAGGTCCAGCAATAACTTAAACCGGGATCTCCGTGGGCTCTACACACTTGCACTTTCACTGATACTTTGCATAATGACTTCGCTATCAGCTTTTTAAAGAACATCCAGCATCTCTGCAAGCATCTTGTGGTTTTACTAAAGCTTCCTTGCTTCTCAAGGGAAAGGATGGATTGTATCTCACATTTTCTCTCAAGTATGACCGTGCAGACATAATTCAGGAAGAGATCTTTGTTATTTTTGAAAATTAGTTTGACTTGCTGCCCCTTACATCTGTATCCTTAATATTGTAAGGAAGATGAATGATGTAAAGGGTGTTGCATCCCCAACAAGTTACATTTGACGAGGAGCACAAGCTCATGCTTCAGTTTGCTGAATTTTTTGTTTCTTTCTCAGCAGCCAAATATATTCAGTTCATGCTTTGTGTTCTGGAATGATGGCAGATCACTGTGCCAGTCTCTAACCAACAGGACATAAAAGCCATTCCGGATAGCTTCCTTCGCCTTTAAAAAGGAGGCAGCCTAGATACTAGTTCTGTAGACCCCAAAGGCAGAAACCCCATGCGACTGTACACCCTTAAAAGTTCCTGTCTTTTTTGCTAACTGCAGTTAATCTCCTGAAATAGAACAGCTGTATGCAATTTTATAAATACCTGAAGCTGTTGTGTTTGTAGTAGGTGTTTCTTCTGGTGCCTCTTCTGCACCCCCTCCAAGAGATCTTGGCCTGGGAGACCCCCTTACTGTACCTGGAGACTTGTAGAGCTAGCATGGAAGTTTGTACTGCAGTAAATGATTAACAGCTGACTTTCCTGCAAAGGTGTGGCTAATCTAATCAAAGGCCCTCAGCCTAGTTAAAAAGACCTGGTTCAGCTGTTGTTCAGGCATTTCTTCCTCTCCATGGTTTTGTCCACTTGTGTACCTGTGCTGGTGCTTGTAAAGGCCCATCAAGTCCTCTGACTGGGGAAGGCTGCAGGTTGTGGTGGAGAGAAGGGGGCTTTGTTTCCTGCATCTGTATTGTAACTCCATTAGGAGACTGCATGTCTAAAATAAGACTGTGAACAAAGACTGCACTCCAGCCCAAGCTTTGTTGTGACAGTTTAGCTGGATGAACTCATTACAGAGCCTTGTAGCGCTGTTAGCTGCAATAAAACTGACTTCCTGTTGCTTTCCTAACTGAAGAAGACCAGAGGGATAGTGCTGGAGAGTGGTGGAAGGGGAGAAGGAGGAGAGCGTGATGTGTGAGACTGCGTGTGTGTAAAAGGAAACTTGTTTTTCACAAGCCAAGCAAATTGCTTTGAAACCAGAGGGATGATGTTACAGAATAGAAGCTATTCCATTAAGTCATCAGTAGAACTTCAATCACTTCTGTTGGAGAGGGTGGCCTCACTCTCTCTTTTAGGTTCCTTGGGGAAAGAAGCTATTTCAACACTTGTATCATCAGGACTGAAGTAACTGTATTCCCTTGCAGTTCCTTCTAGGCTCACTCAGGCTTTCACAACATGTACAGAAGTTGCTGTGTTTGAAGCAGTCTTGCCTTAGTCTGTGCTCTTCTGATCTCCCTCTGCTTTTTGAAACAGAGAGGATCCATCCTCGCTAGTGCTCAGGGCATTCCATGTCCCTTTATGTGGGTAATGATTGAAATGAAAAACAGAAAAGCTTGGTTGAGTGGTGAGCAGGGACCCAGAGACCGGCATGTTTCTAGTGAACAGAAACTGAAGAGCTGTAGTAAGCTAGTGATTTGCTGGGCATCTTTCAGGCCAACCTGATCTGTTGCATGGAAGAAGGCAGCAGACCCCACCCAGCCCAGGCAAACAACTGGTATATCTAAATACCAAGTATTTGAATAGTCCAGCTGAGTACAATGATACAAAATGGTACAAAGCAGAACATTAGGCCTGTGAGCTCCCGGCAAGTATGTAAAAATTGGTCCAGGGACCCCTCCTCTACATGGTGGCTGCTCCTCTGCTCCAGAAAGCCACCTGAATTCTTTAGAAAAGTGCTTCATTTTCTTTCCTCTTTTTTTTTTTTTTTTTTTTCCAGTGCTGTGTTTATTCTCTGCTTCTAATTCAGGAACTTGCAGTGGCAGAGATAAGATGGGAGCCATTTCTCTTGTCCCCCTAGTGCTTTTTTTTTTTTCCTCTTTTTTTTTTTTTTTTTTTAACAGTGCTGTGTTTATTCTCTGCTTCTAATTCAGGAACTTGCAGTGGCAGAGATAAGATGGGAGCCATTTCTCTTGTCCCCCTGCCTGGTATCTGTCAGTGGTTTAACTTCTAACACCACTGGGAAACATATATTTGTAGCTTTTCCTGTTGAGATAAAGCCTGGCAGCTTGTTCTTAGTGACAGCAACCTGTCAGTCATTGGTATGTTTCCAGCCTGCTGAGCTTCCTTCTGACTGTTAGCACAGACTGGTTCCATGCTGCTGAAACATTTCTCAATGGGATTCTGTTAATTCCTGTAGCTGGCACTGTCTAGCACAGGCTAGGAAAGAAAGTAAGCTCTGTTCTCTCACAGGTCTCGTGACTTAGCTTGGATACAGAAACGTCTGTTGAGTCTGTCCTCCGCAAAAGAGGTTCTGAGACTTCCTATGTCACCTTGATTGTCACTTGTTTGTAAGTGAAATGAGCGAAGAGATATCTGACAGAGAGGTTAGTGTGATGCATCTCTGGATGTTGATTAGAGTAAATCGATGCCACACTTGAGCTTATCCTACCCTAACATATTGGTTGGGGGTGAACGCTTTGGGACAGCGTAATAAAGGCCAGCGCTTTGTTAGTCTTAGTGTAGCTGTGCATGTAGTAGCTCATACCAGCGCAGCCTTCTGCTGGCAGTTGTCAAGTCTCAAATATTTACTTTTTAAGGAACATTCTTGTCTTCTGCTGGGAAGTTTTTCTTTTTATTAATTTAAAAGTAACATTGGTCGTTTGAGGATTTTTTTTTCTTAATTTTTAGACTACTCTGTGTAGCTGTTGCTGGCTGTCGCTATATTCCCGTGTGCAGCAGTACAAAACCACAAAATATTTAAATCTAGTTTCTTTGCAAAAATTAAAGTGCATTAAATACATGAGAAGTTACTGATTTTACTAATTTGGGTGCAGGCATCAGAGAAAAGAGGTTTCTTTACACAGTTTTCATTTTTTTTTGTCCTTTCTGCAGTGTGAAGAATATTTAAAAGCCCACTGTTAAAAACTTGATGATTCTTTTCTCTCTAGCTAGATGTCAACTCTGTTATATATATGTGCAATCCCTTTGACTCCTCTGTATTTAGCAGTTGGAATACAAGGGTAGAGGGTGATTTATCTATACGCATTAACTTTTTATACCTTCTCATAAAGGTGGTTGGTTTCACATCTGGGGCTAAAAGAAAGACCAGTGGCTTACAGTGTTAGGTGCAGTATGATGGTCTTCCATTTGGCTGTCCCAGTTATGAAAGGCGTGGCCTGTGCAATAGCCTTGTGCTTATGTAAATCCCTTTCTGAAGTTCACCGAAGTGTAAACCAAACATACACAGTGGCTGCAGCATGGAAAAGGGATTTATTTGCATTTGTTAACTGCAGCCGTACAGCCCATTCTTGGCTCTGCTTTGTCACAATGCCCACTGTCAGCTGCTGCATGTATACCCTTAAGTGACAGTTACCATACTGTATGTCAGGCCTCTGAACTGCCTGTGTGTATGCTAATACACACCAATACATACCTTAGGCATAATGTTTATGCCCACTAAAATAAATTGCACACAGTGCAGGGAGTCAGGCACACAGGTCCTTCCAGTAAGGATAGATTTGTTCCATCTCCTGTAACTCCCATGCTCTGTAAGGACTATTCACCTCCAATAAGCAGAAGAGCTGAACCACACAGGGAGTGGGGAGGGAGCACATTTAGCAGCAGAATAATCAAATTAAGCCGTAACAATGGTGAGTTTTTCCCTTTTGCCTTCATCTTTCTCTTTAAAAAGGGTATTGCACGTGATCTGATTTTTCTCTTTGGCAATTTCACATCATTGTAACACTGATGAAATAAAGCAGGGAGCATTTGGTACCAGCTGTACTCGGACCCTCAGCTGGTGTGTCTGGATCAGAAGATCCATGGTTTGTTTTCAAGAGACATCTCAGCTAAACGTGTCTCTTGCAGGTGGCTTTTAAGAGAGCAGGTTTGGGCTTGATCCAAGATGTACTGGGCATGTGGACCTCCCATTGATGTCAGTTAGTTTTGCTAGCACCCAGCATCATCCTTCTGGAATAACCACTTGTGAAGAGAGTGGGTGCTGCTGAGCATGTGGCAGTGTATGTGTTCTCTGCTTTGGTTTGCGGCTCCATGCTCACAGAGGGAATTCCTGGCTGGCTCAGCTGCAGGGCTGCCATTGGGAAAGCGCGTCTCTTCTCAGCAGCACCCCCCACCCCACCCCAGAAGAGGGAGACAGTGATGGTAGTGTTACCTTTCTGGTCACGCCAAGGAGCCCAGTGGCTGTCACAGAAAGAAGGAATTCCATGCTGTGATTTCTGGTCCTCTGAGTCACATTAATTAACATTGTTACTGCCATTTTCAGTGAGCTAGTATAGAAAGTCATTCCCATAGGACTGAATCACGACGTCCATGCATGTCCTTAACAGTAGGTTGTGTCACCTCTTGTTGCACTTCATGAATGGACAACTGGGCGGACTTGGATCTTCCTACGTCTGTGGTCAGGATGTCCGTCACAGCTACAGCAGCTGTAGCAGCAGCAACTGCAGGCAATGATCATGAGCAGGAGAACAGTAACTGGAAAGAGAATCAAAGGATATTGCTTCATGACGTAGGAGCAATCACTGGAGAGTAACCCTGTGTCTCTTCCAAGTTACTTGATGAGCAGCAGAATGAACAAAGCCTGGTTTCTTGCCATTTTTTTTTCCCCTCTATCCCCACCTGCTCTCTTGTATTAGTTGTCCATTTAATCTGGACAATCATTACCAGATATTTCATGATCTTAAGAGCCATGTACAAAACCCTGTGGGGGTATATCTTTACCTGCCTACTGGGCTGTTGTTTCGGAGATGACATGAGCAACTAAGTGAGCTGTGTGCCTGGAAAAGATGGAGATCCAACTCTCTCTGTAGTTGTGTCAGAAGCAACTCGAGAGAACTTGGTTAGTCAAACTGGCTGGCAGTTGCATTTCTGAAGAGTGTGTGCAGTGCACCCTTTAATAAGGATGGATACTTGTGACTGGGTTGGCTTTATTCTTTCTTCTGTATTTAGCTTGAGAATATAAATACTGCAAACACAGAGTTTTGTTTTGCAAAGCAGTAGGCGAACTTACTGTTATGCTACACTAGACACAATGGTTGGTGTCAGAAGGGATATGTTAGTTTATCTGGAATGGAAAAGGATGACATGTTTAATCCTGCAAAACACTTCTAAGAGTGCGTGAACATGCACGTGTGTGTGCATGTGTTCCTTAAAAGTCTGGAGCTGGGCTGCCAGGTTACCGGACCCATGGGGAACCAGCTGTAGGTATGAAAAAAATAAAGCAGCAGGTGTGTCTTTCTGAATTCCAGCCCAGGGAGGAGTGTCCAGGCTGGATACACACCCTGCCTTTTGGCTGGGAGCAAAGCGTACCTCTTTGAGGGGGAGGGCCTGCCTGCCTTCCTGTTTGTTTTCCCATTGTCTAAACAAATTTCATCCCCCTTGATCAAGCAGCCCTTTGTTACTCCTTCCATGCCATGCCCACACAGAACAGCAGGAGTGATCTTGCCATTACCAGGGGAGAACAAATAGGCTCATCTGAAGCATGCTGGCTTCCACTGAACTAAGCACAGCAATGACACTCAGAGACTGTCTTCTGTGGCAATGAGATGCCCCAATACCATTTGTCGCAAACCATCTCCTACGCATCAAAACATTGCAGCAGCTGTGGGTTGGTTAAAATACTGATGTTTGAACTAATGCTTACATATGAGAGCTTTGTGGAAAGTTCTGCTGTTGGCTGTCGTGCTTTGCACGTGTAGAGATACACACTGAGTATTAAAAAATTACCTAGAAATTAAACTGGGCCTCACAGCCCAGCCTGGAAAACAACTGCCAACAACACCAACCTGCCAACACCACCAACCCACCAGCAAAGACTGTGGAGCAAGCTGCCCCTGTAGAAGAGAAGAGAAGGGACATTCTGACAGCCCTTTGCCTCCACCGATAAACTCACCGATAAACAGAAGAACCACGCAAAAGGACACAATCTCCACTGGGTCAGCCTTCGGCAGTTTCTGGAGCTTAAGGAGAAACTTCTCACCAATGGTTTGCATTTCCTTCAGAAAGCCTTCAGAGGACATTCCGGCTCAACCTCTCCGGGCTTTATGCTGTAGAAGAACCAGAGAATAAACCTCTTCACTGACTAATGCTAGGAAGCTGCCAGCATTCTTATAGAGCTGGTGATCACAAGGAAAACAAGTTTATCTGGTCTCAGTCCTTGCTCCCAGTAGCTAAGGTGGAGGACTGCTAATTGTCTACGTGTTCTGGCACTATTTTAATTTCAAAATCTGGCTTTCGGGGTGCTTTTGTTAGCTGCACTGTTGAGCAAAGGCAAAATGGTGTTTCTTCTAAAAGGACACTTATTTCAGCAGGCATAGAGTTAGCACTGGACAGTGTCTCCCCTTGGCTTTCACCCAATGAAAGTAATTTTTTTTTCCAGTTGTACTAACTTGTCCTTCCAGAAAGAAATGCTATTCTAACTCGACTTGAATTCCAAATGCTGAACTCCAGTGGAACATAGTTTTCAGTTAGTTTTTACTGAGTAACACAAAGTAGACCCCTTTGAAGACCACCTGCACTTTCAGCTACAGAAGGCCCCTTCAAAAGCTAAGGTGCTTTTTTCAACACCTCTCTACAATACCATTAACAATGTTTTATTTATCCAGTTTTACTGAATGGTGGCATTAAGAGCTAAAGTCTGTGTTCGGTTACTGTTGTTACTGAAAATATTCTCAGTTTTGCCACCAATATTTGCTGTTCTTTTGCCCCATGAGCAAAATTTTGGGAGGCATTGCAACAAACAAGTTTGCATGAGAGCTATGGAAGTTCAAATTTTGCTTCAGTCAGTAACTGGAATAGGATATTGTTGAGAAATATCTATAGCTTCACCTAAACCAAGTGTCAGATCAACACTTGGATGGATTATAACTCTTATGTAATCATTGTATCAGAATGTACTAGCTTGTGTGTGTTGTAATAGTCAACACTATTTAATGGGACTTGAACATTGCAATTTAATATCCTAGTCTTGGTGATAACACAGAGCCAAGTGACCAAGACAGTACTTCCAGAATCAGCCAGCTAGTTCATTACTGCACATCTGGTTTGGTTACTCAAACAAATGGATGCTTGGAGTTCAGTTTTTCCTAAACACACTGAAGACAGAGAGACCTTGGCTGTTTCTTTGCATGCTGGGCTTAAATACTACAGTGCCAAGTTAAATTACATTTTGTATATTTATGCAATTCAAAAAGGGTTTTCTTTGTTCTTTTAAATCCAAGCTAAGGAATAAAAACAGGAACCAGCTGGTTTCCTAGAGATGGGGGTGGATGGAAAAACTACATCTACAGAAAGATCTCTGTGCAACTTAGTGGGGAGGCATAGCTGTGGCCTTTTGACCTGAAAAGGTCACTTCTGAGACTAGGGTTAAATAGTTCTTTCCAGATGATTGCCCTACCCTAAGCGAGCTGCTCCAGAAATGGCTGCTTTATCTTTTGCACAATGCCGTGGGATTCTGTGTCAGCAGGTTTCCAGTTTTGTTTCCATTCCAAGAGATGGCGGTGCAGGCAGAGGTGAATTGATTTGTGTTTTCTGCTCTTGGCTCTAGAAGAAAAAAAAAATTTTTTTAAAGTAAGTATTTCTAGCTCTAACATTCTGAAAATGTTTATTTCCTTTGGGGGTGGTTCTGCCTGCCCAGAAGCTCTCCTAGTAAGGAATCTACTGTAAACCTTTTGTACCATGCGTTGGGCTGCACCAGAAGCAGCAAGTGTAAGAGCCAGGCTTCTGAAGTTTGGGTATACAGTGTAAAATTGCTGATTAAGATTGTAGAACTCCACGTGGATTAGCTAAGTGCCTAGCCTAAAATGGTAAGAGCTTGTCGTCTCAGTAATGGACATTCCTCTGCCCCATGGTACCCAATCTGGAGCTAAGTGAAGGAGTTTTTATTCTAAAACTTGCAAGGAATGTTGCTTGTTTACCTTGGTTTGAACTTATTCAGGGACAAAGTTTGATGTTGGTGGCACAATCTCCAACCTACCCGTGAGGAAGCAAATGTTTTTCTGTTTGACTGCACTTCTGACTGCACAATGGTTCCAAGGGCTCTTGCTGCTTTGGGATTTCTGCTTGTGGAGCATAGCAAAGGGTGAAGACTAAATCACTTCTTTAAAAAAAAAAAAAAATTAAAACTCCCCCAAGAAAGCTAGTTATATTCATGGTCTTTTGTATCTTCCATTCTACTTGTGATGTGAAGTCTTTGGTCAGAACTACTTTTGATTGTTATCTTTTTCCATTTGATTTCAGCAGAACCAAGATCTTACCCTAGAGATTAGTATAAGGGTAAGGCTAGTGCTGTATGACTTAAAGAAGATGTCTTATGCATTTGACTTTTATTCTCCTCATGTACAACACAACAGTGATGACATTACTTACAAAATTTAGAGTGGAGCTGTAAGAATTCCTTTTTTTTTTTTATTGCATTGTGTTCAAGTAAGCTCCCAGTCACCAACAGTAGTAAAGGCCAGGTGGTGCAGGATATTTGGTTGCAGCAGTAACTGTAATGATTATTAAAACAGGCGAGTCTTGAGAGATTTGAAACTGAAGGTTGTAGGCCTTAACTGACAGTTTACTTTCTAAGACTGATGTGTTGGGACAGGCAGTTTGGAAGTTCCTGCTGGGGTGGGGTGGCAGCCTGAAATTCGTGGTTTCCGCTGTTTCCTCTTCTGGCTGTTCCTTATAAAATAACTCATCTATCCAGTGTGGCCAGTGGGACTAGATCATCAAATCTTTCTGCCCTCCTCTATGTTACAAGGCCTGGCAAGGGAGAGAATTAAACAAATCTTTTAATTTGGATTTATTTGGTTTTGAGGAAAAAAAGGCTGAATCTGACGTGTGCCATGAGTTGTTAGCTTTGGCTGAAAAGAGAGCGCACAGTAATAATGCAGGGGGATGCCTAACATCTGCAGGTGGGCTGCTCAGCTGCAAGGATTAGATGATCCTTCAAAACCAAAGCAGCATGTCCTACATTTAGGGCTTCTGTAGACTTAGATTCCCAGATAGTTCTAATACTTGTTTTTAATGCAGATTCATCTTGCTGTGCCCACTGAATAAAGTTGTGAAAATTGCCATAATAGCACTGAAATTATCTTTCTGAACTGTTTTAATGGCCTTACGCCATACTGCAGCACTCAAAGAAGTTGGCTGCTCAGCCCTTTTGAGAATAAAGCCATTAAAAGGCCTCACTCTAGACATTTGAGAGAAAAGCCTTGGTCAGGGTTTCTTTGTACTGTGAACTGGCTGTGTGTAGTAGCTTCCAGGCTTCAAGCAAGAAAAAGCTTTGGGATGACCGTTTAAATGTGGGGTTCCACATCCCTCTGTTTGCCTTAAGCTAGTCAAGTTGCTGGAAGTATTTTGGAATTGATGGAAAGTGATCTGATTTTTTTGGTCTGTCTTTGGTTTGGGAAGCTGTATCCTATCTGTGTGTCTACACAGGTGCATCAAAAGTTGAACTGTAGGGAGTGGGTGAGCTTAAATTTACCGCTGAGGAATGAGACACTTGTTTAGTGTGGTGGCATTTGAGCGACCTATTTCAGCGTAAAGATCATGATATTTGGGTTTGTGGTTTAGCCCCAGGACTGGCAGTTAGTAAATGCAGGCAGTCTTCCTGGCCTGCCAGTGATGCTTAGTGGTTGTGTGACTTTGGATAAGTCATCCCATCCTTCAGTTGGGTGACTTCATCTCTGCAAAATAGCAGAACATGTAACTACCATCAGAGGGTTGTTTGCTAACTGTTGTGTGTTCAAGTCTCTAACATGCTCTGAAATCTTTACATAGATAGTAAGTCCCTGCTTTTGTTGCAGTTACAAAATAAAATGGCCTTTGCTTGCTAACTGCTTGTTACACTTCAGGCACTGAGCCCGTTTAGGATGAAAGTAGATGAAAGCATAGCTTCTGCTCTTGGTTGCTCCTTACCCAGTCATGCTCCACAGGGTTTATTTCTCTTGACATGACCTCCCAATCCATTGGTTTTACTGTGCTCCCTCTGAGAATCTTTGCTTGTGTGTGTTTGTTGCTACAGTAATCTAAAAATCTGTTTTGGGGAATCTGTCTGTGGTGCTCTGAAGCTGCCGACGCCTCTAGTCCTAATGCAGCAAGTCCCAGTGCAGGCAAGTTCGATATCCGCTGCTGCGCCCATTGCCCTTATCAGCAACGCTCCAGAGACCTTACAAAGTAGGACCTCCCTGATGTGAACGCTCTCATTGCAATGTTGTCTTCTTCCCAAGAATGTGGCTGTGGAGAAGCAAATACTTTGTGGTGTTCTTATTCGGACAAGTCAAATAAGCTGGTTGAAATTGGACCAGTACAGGGATGGGAAGCCCATATGGACTGTGGTAGCTTATTTATTTGGTGGAAAATCTTAGAAGGCACTCCCAGCCTCATGGAAGGAGAGTGCTGAGCAGCTGAAGAGGAGGGGATGCTTTTTATTCTGGTCTAAACCTTTACAATAAACTCTGATGGTGTTTGGTCACTTTCTTAAGAACATGAAGGCTCAGCCAGTTTCTAAGCCTACCAGCTTTGTTCTTGGTTCCTGAAACATGCTTCTGATTTCTTACGGATAAGGTCTGCAATGCTTTCTGCCCTAAAACAGTGCGGGGCTGCTAGGTGTTGTTACAGTTTAGATGCATTCTGGCAGAACATGTAATAATTCCTGTACTATTGTTTATTGTTCTAAGTTTGTAATGTACTTCTGAGATGAAAAGGGCTATAGAAATTTAGTCGTAGTATCAGTGCATGGTTTTCCGTCATCATTGTTAATGTGTTGTTTGCTGCCATGACTGTAGTTAACCAGCCATGTGAATGTTAAGTATAGTTCACAGACAAGCCCTTTTTTTCTAAAACAGGAGTGAACGGAGCCAGACAGACCTATAATTCATTCCCAAGCAGATGAAAATAGTTTCCAGTATCAAGAGAATTCAGCTTTTTAACAGCACACACCCAAACTGGTAAATTGCAGCTCAATGTCATGGGAGAAAAGCTTTGACTTTGTCAGCTGGTCTGGAAAAGAAGGCCACACATTCTTTCGTATTATAAAGCTGCCTTGACTGGGTAGCCATTTGGCTGGAATACCCTGTCATCTCCACCACCCACTATTTGGAGACTGGTTTTGAGGCAGCACCGTAAATGTTCCTTCCCTCCCCTACAACCTAATATTAGATTAATATAAAAAGGCACTGAATTCCCTGCAATAGCAGTTTGAGAAGCTGAGGTGCCCCACTGGGGCACTGAGCTGAGAATCCCTGCACCTCTACAGAACACGCTGTTTTTTTCCAGTTCATCCCACAAACAAGTCCAGAAAAGCCCATGAGATAATTCCTCACTACTAGTCCCATTTTTAAGAAGTGGGGAAACCAAAGCACAGAGCCATCCAGTGAAAGGAAAAGGTCAATTTTAAAAATAAACCTGTAGCTCTTCTACAAGAGAACTTTTTTTTTAGGGTTGCTGATGTTTGAACCTAGCCTGAAACACTATTCTAATATTAGCAAAATAGCCATTTCCTGGGAAGCTGACAGAGAGGTGGCTGTGTGCCTGTGAAAACTTTGTAAATAGTTACTTCACAAAGGTACTGGGTTCTATCAGTAGTTTGGCATTTGAGGTAATACAGCTGGAGCCCACTGAGAGTGTTGGAAAGACCTTCTCCATCTTCTTTCAGCCACCTCTGTGGCCTGTCCTCGACTGAGCACGCATTTTTGAGTCTTCTGAAATATGCTGGTCTAATCCTAGTAAAGATGCCACTTGGGTGTAGGAACTCAAAACTGCAGGCTACAACAGCTGCTTCCTCAGAAGAAGCTGTTGTGAACCATCAGCTGTGGGTGTGCAGGGTAGCGGTGAGAGCCTGCATGGAGGCGAGGGGTGGGTGCTCTCTCCTCGCCCAGCTCTCTTGCAGTCTCTCACAGTCCCTGCCGTGGAGCGCACAGCGATGCTCGCTGGCCCACAGCAGGCTGTATGGGCCAGGGGGCTGTGTTACAGAAAGGATCTGCTCTATCAAACTTGGTTTATTTTGCACCTCCACTCCTAATAACCACTTTTGCATTGCAGTCAGGCTAAGAGGCCCGTGAGCTGTGACAGCTGAAACAAAACTGGACAAACCCCTAGCCAAACCCGTTAAGATTTTCTTTTGGCGAGGAAAACTTGGCGTGTTTCTCTACCTCCCTCCTTCCCCTGCCCTTCTCCCCTTGCTCCTCCCTCCTTCCTGTTGTTTTTTTTTTTCCCCCCTAAATTTTGTTTTTCCCGTACTTTGAGAAACCATCTTAACTGAAACAAACAACCTACAGAGACCCTTCATTAGCAGGGTGGAAACTTCCCTCCATCCCCTTTGAACTTAGGGCTAGACTGGAGGCGTGTGGGTCTTAACTACTAGATCTTTGCACACAGGCAGTTCCAGTTCGGTGTTTGTACAACACGTAGGTCAGAAAGACCTGCCCTCCCTTCCACGTTAGTGGCAATGGAGAGAAGCGGAAATACCTGATCCTTAACATTCCTCCATACAGGCATGTGTAGGATCGGGAAGACATTTTTCTGTGACAATTGGCTTTCTGCCTCACTCCCTGCCTGTTTGTCAACAGCTGACTGCCCCTGCGCCTCCTGGAAGAGCCAAGGGGTCCCAGCTCAGCGCTAGGAGCTGCGAGAGCTTCCAAAGAGTAATCAGCTTCAGATGGCAGAAAACGGGGCTTATACGGTCAGTCTCCTTGCCAGCCCCCTTCCCGCACCCAGCAGCAAAAACAGATGGGAGTACAGGTTGTGGGACACCTCTCTCTGTAAATCCAAGGCTTACGGCGGGTAATTTCATGTATTTGGGGGATCCTTTTCCTCTTCCTTCCCTTCACACTGCATTCAGACCTGACAGTCTTGTTACTGTAAACCATAGACCATGTATGTGTGTGTATGTGTTCTCTCAGGACAGTGGTTTCTCATGCTATTCTGAATAGTAAACCAGCATCTGTGCCTGATACACTAGCTGGTTTGTTTTTTTTTTTTTAAATGCTCTTGTTAGAAGCTGTGTAAAATATTTCCATTTATTTCTATTGGACACAGATGCTTAATTTGCACAGTATGCTAGTTCCCCGACCAGGGTTTGTTTTCAAGCTCTCAGGATTTGGGGGATAAAACTTAGCTCCAGCTGGGAGGAGCTCTGGAGAAATGCTGTGGCTGGTACCCGCTTGGTTTCACATGTGCTTGCCTGTGCTGGCAGCTACTTCCTAACGGCGCACACGCTATTCGTACAGAGGAGCAGACCAGTTCTCTTGTCCGCACAAAGTATTAATATATCAAGTCATCACTGCGGAGAATGCCCTGTGCTAGACCTGCTTATCAGCTGAGGTCACATTCCGTAACAGCAACAGCAAAATGAGCAGGCAGCCTTTCTAATCAGCAAAGAAGTTGCTTACTCCTGCTCCGGCTGTCGGAGCAGTGCAAGGCTGCAGGCTGGATCCTTTTGTTAGCAGTACGGCTGCAGCGCAGCTTTCTGCAATCCCCTTAAAAGCTTTTCTCTCGCCACCTTTGCTCCTGAGCGTCCCTTGCAAACAAATTTAGGCAAGCAAGCTCTGCTCAATGGCTGATTCTGCAGTTCACCATTCCGAGAGCTACAAAAGCTCCAGCTACTTGCTAACTAGCTGAATGTTAAGGTGCTACGGTTGACCGAACACCAGCAATAGCTCAGCCTTACCCCAGCCGCGCCGCGAACTCCTCTCCTCTTGTTTTTCTTTCTGTCTTCTTAAACTTTCACGTCATCTCTCTCTTCACCCTGGCTTGTGTCCGGCTCCTCGCTCGGCTCCCCTCCGCTCCGCTGCTGACAGCCAGCTGTTGTCTCTGCCTTTTTTGTGTTACTGGTTGTCCTGGAGATGCGAAGTTTCGTGTTACACGTGTGCCAGGGGCGGCGAGCGGCCACCGCGGCTCAGCCCCCCGCAGCGCCCGCTGCCAGCGCTTGGTGCTCGCTTCCTTTCTGCATCTCCTCCCAGCGAGGTCTTGTCTTTTTTTTTTTTTTTTCCTTGTAATTACAGCTTTTTCTGGAGCAGGACTTGATTCTCTCCTTGAGATAGTTTGGAGGTAGGGGTGGTGTTAAAGCCATTAACTTTTCCTTATGCTGCCTGGTTGCCTTCCGACTCCCGAGGGAAGGGGCTTCACTCTTGTGTTCTTTGAAGGGGCAGAGCAAGAAATCACCAGGATGGTGCAGCAGGGGCTGCCACGGACAGGGGAATGGGGATGACACCGAGGTGGTGGATTTGCTCCATGCCCTTGGCCAAGACATTTACTTTCTTGATGCCTTGGGTTTCGCTTCTTGTGTTCTGGGGACAGCCAGCACCCATCACCTTGTCTCGGAGGGTTGTTGAAGTTCAGCTGACATTCCGAAGGCTCCAGTCCTTCGGACAGGTGCAAAATTGTAATTCCTCATCAACCTCGTAATTTGCTCTCCTTTTTGATAAAGCTCATTAAATGGCTTTTGTTCAGCAACTCATCTGCATAAATAATTTGTCCTCATACGATTTTTGTCTTTTTCATGCTTTCATTCCTTGGCTTGATTCCAAGACTTGCTGGGGTTTTTGGGGGGGAGCTCTTTTGATGAGGCTGTGTACCCTTCTTTGGCTCACACGAGGGAATGCTTTTTCCTGGTATATTTTGGGAGAGGCAGAGCTTCTTTTGAGATATGTGACTTTTCCTTCTTCTCTGATGGTTCATCTGTTTATTAATTGCAAGAACAGGGCTCCTGTTTTACCTGGTGTACAAAAGCAAGGCGTACCAAAAGGAGGCATGGTGCAGGCAGCCATGTGGCCAGTTTAGCACTTTTCCTGAAATGTATTGCCACAAGCAAAAACATGTTAATAAACCTGATTGTTATTTATTCTTCATCCTATCCCATGATGTAAAACCAGGGTGGGATGTTTCAAATTAAATAATTATTTTGTTTAGACATTTTAAAGACCAGTGGTCAGCTCATACACACTCCTCTTACCAGGGTGGGGGAGGCAAATAATACAGTTGCATATTTAAAAGATGAAATAATTTTAAGACATGTAAATAATATGAGCTACCATTAATTTATGTAAATCAGCTCGTGGGCATTAGTCAGGTGCTCATGTGACTCAGGAAGTTTTCCCACCACATTTTAATGCCTAACAAACTATGTTTCAAGACCTCTTGTGTTTGGTTAAGCATTTATCCAGCGGTTCCACCCAGCATCCCTATTGGTAACTCTGGCTTTGGCCTTTTGACTCTAATTGCAGGACTGCAATCTTAGTTCTGCAACTGAATTTCCGTTATGACCCAACTCATGAGCACCACTGGCTGAAGTGGGACTCTGGCCCCAATTTGGGTAATTTTGTGGGAAGTTACAGGCAGTTACAGGAGGCTGGATGGAAAGGGCTTGGCTTTACAAGCCTGGTGGGTTAGAAACTAGAACCTCTCTAAATTCCAGTGACTTCAGAGCTGATCTCTGCTTCCACCAAAGCCCTCCCTTGGGGTACCTCTTGTTTGCATTAAGAGACGGAGGTGTGTGGGGGTCCCTCCCGGGGGGGTCCCTCCCCAGTGTAAGCCTGGTGAGTAGGCTGTAGAAGTGAGGAGAGGGCTTGACCATTACTGTATGCCTCGGTTAGCTCCAATACAGATCAGTGCGTGTGAGAGAGAGACATGGACTAATGAGAATGCCTGCCTGTTTTCTTTTGGGGAAACAAAAAGCTGACTTGCAGCTCGCTGACATTTCTATGGTCACATTGCATTGGCAGGACAGGCAGCACCAGTAGTTCTTTTGGAAAGGCCAGACAAGGGGATCGAATGTGTTGTCCCCATCCCGGTCCCCCCCACCCTTCCCCACCATGTGAAAGGAGCTCTTTGAGTGCAAGACGAGAGCGAGTCAGTGCGGCTCTGCAGGGGGATATAAAGCCAGCTTTGTAGTAGCCCTCTCTAGGCTCAGTCCCCTCGACCGTGCAGTACAACGTCACCCTGTCGCAGCCCTCCTTACCTGAGCAGCGCCAGGTCCTTTGTGCTTCAGCACACACATTTCATTGCTCTGGCGACAGTAGTCTGTAACCTGCTGCTTTGCTGCTTCACTCGCTCTTCTGCTTGGTAAATTAACCTCCCAGGCCGTGGGAATGAGCGAGCCAGCTGCCGCTGTAGACCCTTGCAGGGCTGGTTTCTGATGCTTTGGTAGGCATGCAGTTGTGTTCCCCCCCCAGACGCACACACGCACGCACACAAGTTAAGAAGCAAACTGCATTTGTTAGGTCTCTGGCAAGTTCAGACATGCCTTAAAGGGTTTATAATAAGAATGAATGAAGTGCTCACTCTCTTACTTTTCCCCTCTGTGACCCACTTTTTGCAGATGAAGTTGGTAAGCCAACTAGGCTACTCCTTGGTAGAGAAGAAAAATCTCCACTTTGTTCTTCCTTGCAGTAAAATAATTAGCTTCTAAAATAACTGTTGTTGCTGCTTGGCTGCAGGATTTGATCTCTAAATGCCTGATGAAGTAAGTGTTTCTGTGTATCTGGTATCAGCATTTTGACTGAGAGAGCTGGCCACCAAGTTTTAAAAAGGTCCTCTAAATTCTGCCCGCTTTCTTAAAAAAAGGAAAAAAGAAGAAAAAAGTAACCGCCTGGTTCTTCTTTCTCTAGCAAAATCAATGTCTTCACTGGTTTAAGTTAGGGATTGTTCTAGAAGAGAAATTACTTCCAGCCTGTATTGCTAATGAGCATATATTTGTCACCAATTTTTTTTTACGTATCCAGAAGCCCTGATGTCTGCCAGAAATCTTTTGAAGATTCCTGGAAGAATCTAGTCATCTTCCCATGGCTAGTTTGCAAAGGCTGCTAGAACTGCTTGTACAGTGCTGTATGAGCAAATGGACTGGTTTTCATGGATATAGGACTCTATCCGAACTTTGGCTGCACGTGTCAGCGGACCAAGACCCAGGCTGTATTGTCTGAATAGTGCTCCCTTGTAACCTCAGTCTGGACTCTATTTCTGTGACTTAACTTGCATTCCTGTTTCTTCAAGTGTAGATATGTTCACCTTCAAGCCACAAACAATAAAATTAGAAGCTCTCCAATGTAAAATATACAGAAGTGCTCTGAACTTGGAGGTGTAGGAATCCACAGGACCTCTGCATATTTATCCTAGAGACATTCTGACTGGGCATGGAATGTATTTGGCCAATGATGCAGAATTAATAACTGCATATTTCATCCACCATGCCTTTCACAGACCTCAAAGATCTGAAAGCATTTAGCAGAAGAGATTGACACCACTGTTTGTTTTACATGTGGCGAAGTGGAGGCAGAGAGACCTTAAGCAGGATGCCAGGAACAGAACCCCAGTTTTGCTCCAGGGCTCAATCCCTGTGGTTCCTGCTGGAATAAGCATTCTCTGCAAAAAAAGACTCAAGTCCTTATCAAAACACACCTTGCATTTGGAGGGTGGGGTTCTTGTCAATAAAAATAATTACCAGATCATTTTCCCTTTTGTTTCCTAGATGTCGCCATGCTGCCATAGCAAAATACTTTGGCGATGTCACCCCACCTTGTAACAAGTGCTGTGATTACTGCAAGAACCCAGCTGCGGTGAAAAGACAACTGGAGTCACTGGAGCTCTGCAGCAACAGCCGGAGCAAAACCTGCATTGGGCCCACAGGTTCCTCCTGGGACAGCTATGACCCAGAGCTGTATGAAGGCGGGAGGAGAGGTTGCAGAGGTTTTAGCAGGTCTGTACTTGGTATCTCAAACTTGGCTCATAGAAGCTATCAGAGAGAAGAGAGCATCTCCCAGCTGCAGGCCCAGCCACTCCTATTTTCAGCACATGTTTCTGTGTGGTGGTATTTTCCTGTAACTTCCTGGCAGCAGGAGCTGGAATTTCATTTTCCACACGCTTTGGCAGCCTTGATCACATTCGTGTCCAGAGAGCCAAAAGCTGTTTTGACTGACCTAAGAATTGCCCTGCAGAATGTAATTGGTTTAGGAAACTAGCCTGAAACTTTTTGAAAGCAGAAAGTGGGCTCAGCCCATTCACAGTCATGAGGCTCAAAAATGTTTAAGTTGAGACCAACGTGACAGCAAAGTATGACACAATCCAGAGTTCATTCCTGACTTAGTATGGCCGTTTGTGGGTCAGCAGGCTGGGGGGCCACTGACAGAACTTAGTCATCGCGGAGGATGTAATGGAGTGCCGGTATCAGCTTCTTCTGCAGATTGCTAAATTTTAGTGTTTCCCTATCAGGCTGACAGCAGAAGGAAGATGTGCAGTGGGAAACATAATTCATTCTGTAAAAAGCTTGCTAGTGTGGAGGTGACAGCTTTTTTTCCTCCTTGTTCTCTGGCTGAATTGCAAGGATTGTACAGCTCTGCCAGGATGCAAGTTTCGCTGCCTGCACTGCCTGTGAAGCTCTGCGAGGATGTGCAGTGCTATTGGCTGGCCTAGCCCTCTGCTTTACCTTAAACAGCTTGAGACTGGTAGCTTTGTTCTTTAGGCAAGTCCAGCTGAGTCGGAAAAAACTGGTGTACTTGTGTTTGATCTCAGGACCTGAGAAGATGGGACCAGTGCTGTTGTACAACACACTGTTTGCCACTTCATGTATTGAGCCTCTCCATGACATGGTTGTAGCTTTGCCTTGGAGGTTGTAATAGTCAACAGTCTTAAAGCTCTGATTTGTGATACCTGTAAGTTTTGGCTGTGACAGCTGTGTAAGGCAGTAAACTCTTGGGCTACATCTGGCAAGAATCAGCTGCTGCATTTCCATGTGATGGGCATTTCATTTAATACAGCAGCCTGCAAACAACCGAGGCTGAGGAGTGGATGCTTTGGCCTTTCTGCCATCTCTGCTGAAAGGGCAGTAATGATGGACAGATGGGGTACACGACAGAAGGCAGTGACTCCTCAACTTCGTGGGAGAAGCTAGCAGAGCTTCTGAAATTGAGCTCTCCATTCTCAGAGTGCTAGTTATGTGCTACTAGTTTAGCTACTAGCTGCTAGTACTACTACTTCCTAGTTCATGGGGTTAACAATTCCCATGAATTTTTGGAGGACACTCACTACTGTCCAGGTTGAAGGATGGTAGTGAAATTCAAAGCTAAGATTTGTTCAGAAAGTATGTGAAATACATCATCTTTTGTAAATACTGGTATGACCTAGGCTTTCCAAAGCCTGTTCCCCAGTTAATGCTGCAGCTACAGAAATGTTTGTTTGTCTTATTTTCCTGCTCTATCCAGGTATGATGAAGAAAGCAGTGGGGATTGGGATGAAGCCAATGAAGAGAATCGGAAACGGGAGTGGAACAACTTCTACAAAAAGCAGATGAGTCTGCGCAAAGTGAGTTGGTATCCCTTTGTAAGAGATCCACAGATTGTTTGCTGTGAGTTTGTGTTACAGACATACAGGCTTCCTGGCAAGTAAATTATTGCATTGTGCTGTTGCTTGTTCTGTTTTTTACTTTCTGTACTTCTGCTTTTGCTGCGTTCTCCGTGTTCTGGGTCAGTCCCATAATACAAAGGAACGCAGCTTATTCATGTCCTGATTTCTCTGCAGTGCTAATCAAGAGGATCCTGTTGGCTTTAACCCCTCTGACATTAGTAAAACCAGATTTCCCCATTCAGCTTCTCTTGCATATTCCTATAGCAAAGGTGAATTTCTGGCTTTGATTCTCATCCTTTGTCTCCTTTCTCACATTTTGGTGCCTTTTCAGTACCCTTTGTAACTTCAGCATTAATTTTCCCTGGAGCAGGGGTATAAAATGTGTCTTTTGTGCTTCTAGACCTGCATGTGTGTTGCAGGAATGGAAATGTTTGACTGATCTTTGCTTTCTTCCAGGGCAAAGAACCAGAAAAGGAAGATTTTGTTCCTCCAAGTAAATATCTTCTTTGATTTATAGTGGGATTTCTTTGGGAGAAGGAAGTCTTTTATTTTACAGCTGCGTGTAATTTATATAACATCAACACTGGAGGTATCAATCCCTAGGCACAGAGGTTAGGCTTTTGGCCTTGAAATCTTGGCTGGAAGAGATGGATCAGAGCTTAGCTTTGGTTGGGGTGAAGATATGGAATGCATCTCTTTGAACAACTTTTCCAAATAATCAAGAGAGAAGGAAAACTGTCTAACTTGACTTTGTAGGCTACTTCTGCAGCATTATTGAATTGGGCTATAAGAAAATTGCTGAAAAACTTTGCCATTTGTAACTGGGCTACTCGGGGCCCTGTCTAGCAACACAGTTCTTACACTATTGTAATATACGGTGGTAGTTCATGTTACTCTATTCAGCTTCTTTATTTTTGGTTGGTATTGTGGGGAGCAAAAAAGGGTTGTGTTTCTTAAGAGCTGGGATTTCTTGAAAAAGGGTTTCCTGAGATGGGGAGGTTTTGGAAAGCTGTTAGTCATAAACTAGCAAAGTAGACATTCTCATCCAGAGAGAAAAATCTCACTTCTGCTTCTGCCTACTCTTTTGGAGATTGTACCTTCTTCAGGTATAAAGGGTGACTGTAGCGGTCCTTGGGGTGACTATGCAGGGAGGAGCATGCCAAGCAGTACTGGGCTGGCACCCTCCCAGTGCCAGCTGGGATGTTCTCCATCAGCCCCAGCCCTGCTATGACACCTTTTCCAAATGTCTCTTCCATGGTAGGAAGAAAGGCTGGTTAATGTTCAGTCTTGTTGACTTGCAAAAAACAACAAAGATTCTGCCTGCCCTGTTCTTACTCCTTCAGGGATGGAAGTTCAAGGGGCACTGTGACTTCTGTAGAGCATGTCTGAGTATCCCATGTTTCCTAGGGACGGGAACACTGCTTGAAGATGCTGGAAGAAGCTTTGAGCACCAATCAAAAGGTTCCAGCAGCAGGAGGAAAAGGGTATGAGATGAGAGAAAAGCGGTAGCATACTGAGTCCCTTAACACAGGGCCTACTCTTCCCTGAGCAACATTACCACTCTCAGGAAATACCTTTTTAAGTTATTTGGTCCAAGGATGTAGTTTCACTTAACAGCATCCTTCTTGTAGTGACGTTTGGGATCAGATATTCCTGTGTCCCATCCTGCTAAATCAGCTTGATCCTAGGAGTCGCAATTCCTCCCAGTCCCACAGGATGGGGATAGTGTACTTTTCAAACCAAGCTACTGGAGGACTTTGATTGTGAACTGCTTTCACCCTTTCCATTCTCCAGCAATTCACTGCTGCATTCTTTAGGATTTAATTGGAAATTATCACTTATTCTTGCACTGGAGGGAGTGAATTTTGTACTTTCTTGGGAGACGCTTAAATATTAGTGTTCCCTTTGCAGATATAGAAGTGTGTTTTGCCAGAAATCACCCTAGCCTGTGTTCCAGGTCAGACCCTCAGGCCTGTGCTGTGGAGCTGGAGTATGAAGCTTTCCGAACCAGTAAAATGGCTAATTCATACAAGGCAACTGTGCTAAAGAAGGTAGGGCCGTACATCTGCTGGTGTTCCCTTGAATGCGCTGTGGCCTCAGCTCGAGGGCATATAGGATAGAGTTTATGTGGGAAAGATGAAGAAGCTCTGCTTTGCCTTGGATGTCTTCCAAATCTTTCTTCTTGGTTTTGTTTCCAGGAGGGCCCAGAATCACATTGGTTTCACTCCTTTGTTGGCTTTACAGGCTTTGGAAGCCTACATATCAGAGCAAGCTTATCCAAATATCCCTTAGGTGTAGCAATAAAGAGAATGGGGAGTTCCTCAGGCTGTTGCTGACAAGAGATGAGCTTTGGTTTAGGGTAGCTGGTTTCAATAAGTCTTTTCTGAAGACGTTTCTGTTCTTGAGATGGGTATCTCTCCAGGGGAGGCATATGTTTTGCCACTATGGCTTTTAGTGTTTACAGACGCAGGAAAGC